ATTCAAGTTGTTTTGGATTTGGTAAATCAGGTAAACCTGGTTTCTTTTTTATATGTGATACTGCATCAATACGAAAACCATCAATACCTAATTGAAATATTTAGTTTTACAAAAAACTAAATACTAAAACTTATATAAAATACCTCGATCAAGCCACCAAAGTGCTATTTTATAGAACTCTTGACGTAGTGCAGGACATTCCCAATTAACATCAGGCATTTTACGAGAAAATAAATGTAAATAATATTGATCTGTTTCTTTATCATATTCCCAAGCTGAACCATTGAAAATACTTTCCCAATTATTTGGACGAAGACCACCAGGTTTACCATCTCTCCATACGTACCAGTCACGTTTGGGATTCGTACGTGATGACCGAGACTCAACAAACCATGGATGCTCACTAGAAAAAAATAACGAACGTCTGTTTTTCTATTTTTCTAAAAAATTTTATAAATCGTACTCGCTTGTATGATTTAAAATCAAATCAAAAATAATACGCATATTTTTATTGTGAACCTGTTTTATAAGTTCGTCAACATCTTCCATTGTACCAAATACATCCATGATGTCTTGAAAATCAGATATATCATATCCATTATCCTAGTAAAAGCAATGATAATTATGCGTGCCGATAAAGAAAAATAAAGGTTTTTACATCATTTGGACTTTTAAAAATTGGACAAATCCAAAGAAGATCAGCTCCGAGATCCTTGATATGATCAAGCCGTTGAATAATGCCTAGAAAAACAAAGTAGAAAGACTTCTAAACTTATTATTATGTTACTAAAGATTTACCGCGTATATCGCCTATTCCATCTTCATTGGAATCTTGAAATGATCGTGGATAAATTTGATATGCTATAGCTTCTTTCCACCATTTACGTCGAACATTAGTAGTTGGATAAAATGATGATTGTATTGTTGATTCGGGCTTAGAATTAGTTGATGGATTTTCTATAACTGTGGACATTTAATGATGACAAAACGAAAAAAATAATTATCTAAAAGAAGTTTGTTGACCAGTTGAAGGAACTAATGGTACGGAAAAAAGTGACCGTTGTATAGATTTTACGGAAAAGTTTTGCTATTTGTCATACATTGAAATTTAAGTATTATTTTTCGATTCTATTCTTTGCTTTTGTAATAAAACATAAGTAAAAAAAGAATAAATGCGAGTTTCGTTCAGTACAAAAGTAAAAGAACGAGAGTTCAAAAAGTAGAAAAGTATAGCTTCTATAAAAATGCACTTCATCTCCTACCATCATTAGATCATATATATGATCCTCTACAAAAAAAGACAGATTTTCATGGTAATATAGCGACATCTAACAATAAGTTAAAGAAATGAAATGAATTCAAGACAAATAAAGTTGTTGTCACATTTCGATCTGGATTTTTTAGAATTCAATAAATTTTCATTGTGAGTTTTAGCAGTTCAGTTCGATTGAGTGATTGAAATCGGACAGGATTCAATCGTTATTATTCATATCTCATAGGATGCGACTGAGATTACTGCACTTGAGAAACTGTTATTTAGTTCAGCTTTATTTCATACTAAGAGTAGCTCAAGTGAGCGAACGAATAATATTGAGTTTCATTACTAAGGCAATCGTTACATGGTTTTCAAACAAACTTTATTGAACTTTCATATACATATGAAGACAAAAATTTTCTTTCTGCATAATGGTCAATTTTTAATCGGTCGTATCATCTTTGTTCTAAAACGTATATAACTTATGATTTATAAGTACAGATTACTTCCATCAATGCATATCTGGTTTTCAGATTATGTTATAAGAATTTAATGTTGATTACTAG